ACTTGTCTCCAAGCCCACACAGAGAAATTAAATGTTAAATATTGAAGTTAATTTTGCAGAAATTCAACCAAATCCTCTCGTTCAGAGAGGCTACTATGTGATTATATTACTTACAATGCCTTTGCTGAACAAATGTCTGAACAAGCGATTTAGTATCAGTGCATCAGCAACGTCCGTTACCTATGCAAAATATCATATACAAAACTCAAGTTATGGAATCAAATTAACCCAAAAAAAAAATCCCTCAATATGAATCAACTGCAAAAAAAGAAATACCATAAATTCATCAAGACATAATAAAATTGCGTCCTCCGAAATCTCTTCAGCAACAACATCAAGTGGATCTGACACACCCTTGTGCCTCTGTAAGGATGCAAAATATGATATTGAGATAAACATTTTTTTCTTTCCTCTGGCCTATGATATATTCAGAAACTAACAGTACCCAGAAAATAACCAAGGCTACTAGATTAATGCCCAGAAAGGTCTTTTGCGTTGATAATATTGCCTTTTTTTTTTTTTTTGGTGATCTCATTAAAAATACCTTCTGGTAACCCTAACATCCTTTTTCAAGATGGTTGAAAGAAGAATAACCAAAATAAAACAAGATATATGCCAGTCCTGAATGTTGGGAGCCTTCCAGAAGTAGGCTTTAACACGTCTAACTGCAAAAGATTCGTGCAAAATCGTAGAAATCTACCCCCGATTGGTAAGAAAGACTTGAAATGCAATTGAGCTATGGCTCACTTACATCAAAGAAGAATAAATTACTATTGCATTTAGAAAGCAGTTCCACACGTAACAGTATCAACTTTATTTTAGGTGATAAAAAGGTTCTATAAACTTACTTGCAATCGACTATGTACATTTAACATAAAGTCATGAAAATGAATCCTCTTTTTCCTCCAATTGGCAGGCCTGAGAAAGAAAAGTTACGAGCAGCAAAATATGGTAAGACAAGGTTTATCTTAATGAGAACTCACTTCCATAAAATCATCTAGAAATTATGGATGCTATTCCCATTTAATTTTAAATTAAAAATATGAGGACTTGATGACATGTATTAAACCAAGTTAATCCGAAGAGAACAGTTTCATATCAAACTCACAATTGATCAAAAAACAGATCCATCAGCATAGTTTTCCCAGTCCCCACTCCTCCATACAAGTATAAACCCCTAACTGGTGCATATGAAGGTTGAAACAAAAGACGGGACCACAACCACCCGCTCCTACAGAAGCAAGTTATTTTGAATTTAGATGTCTAAACATGAAGCAAAAGCAGAAAAAGATAAAAACTGCAAGATTTGAACCGATATATCAAAATGGAATGAGATAATTACAGGAAGAAATGAAAGTATACCTTACATGTTTTTCAGAATTGCGATCCAATTGGCAGGCATCAACAGACTCAACCAGCTCATCATAGAGTCTCTGAAGTTCTCTCAGAGTGACTAACTGCCAAAAGAAATGTCCATAAAAGACAATCAAATGAAGAATATGAAAACAAAGGTGGAGCCACGGCCAAGAAAATGTCATGACGATTCCATATGGCATCCGATCAAACCAAACAGAACAGAGGCTACCACCCTCCCAAGCAAAGATTATAAGTAATTTAGTAGAAAAGAGAGCTTGGTTCTTGTTTTCATTCTCGTTTAGACTCGGAGAGTTGGGGGGGGGGGGGGGACAGGAAAGAACCACAATAAAAGTGAGGTGAGGCCCCCATTTTCTTCATCAGTAAAATGTCTATGAAGTTACCTGGCAAGTGTCGCCATCTACAAGTTCACCAGCAGCAATTCTACGTTCATATTCAACAAGAGGCCCTCCTCTGTTTACTTCTGCAACTGAAACAGCAAGTTTCAATACTCGTGAAATGAGAGAAAGAAAGGTTTGAAATCCATCAATACAGCAAAAAAAAGCCATGAGAGATTCTTAGATACAAAAAAAAGCATGTGAAGTTGTAGATCAAGCCAATCACCATAAAGATACACATCAGCATGCCAGAAAAGCACGCTAAACAACATATCTAACATATTTAAATGCATCTTAATAGTTGGTTTGACGAACATAAGAGTTTTTTTCTTTCAAAGCAAATGGAGAAAACGAAATCATCAGAGACTAGAGAATAACCTCCATCTGTGAGTTTTATAGCATCAACTGAAAGAGCTCTTGAGGTTGGACATGTATTGTATCCCAGTAACTTGGTTTCAGCATGATTAACAACTCTATAAGCTGCACTATGATGTGCCTTTCTCAGATAACAAGGTGCTTCTGCTCTGCTACTGATCATAACACATTTTTGCCTCTGAAGAGCTTGTCGTAATTGGCGGACAGATCGAACTACGGTCCTCATCTTCAATCGAACTCCAATACCAATGTACTACACCAGGGTTGCCGCCTACCACTCCAACCTCCCAAAAGAAGAGCGTCGGGAGTGGTCCGCCCTGAACTATTCAAAATCACTGCAATGAGAGACATAGATAACATAATTCTGTATTATAACAAGCTTTCAATTACATGAAATCAGGGGTAAAGAATCCGCAGAAGGAATAGCTCAATGAATGATTTGACTAAATCCAGGGAAAAAAAAAGATTTTCATTGTAACTGAAAATGCAATGAATCAGAATATGCAGTTATTGAGATGAATAAAGAGCCCGCAGAATCGATCGCGACGAAACCAGGTTCGCGTATTCATTCATCGCATGTTATGAATACATCGCGCAAGGCCAGGACAAAAAGAAGGAAAGAAATAAAACTAATTCACAAATTCATCGAACCTGGAAAAAAACAAAACCAGGAAACGTCAATTCATTCCAAATATGCAGGAACCTCAAACGCAATCCGAGATATTAGGAAAATATCAAAAGGAGAGGAAATTAAATTTTATTAAATGACATAATTGAAGAAAACAAGAAAAAGAAGGCGGAAACTGAAATCAAAGTCAACAAAAAGATTTTATCTTTTGGTAAAAGGAATGATCCGGAATGGAGAAAAATACCTCCAACACAACTGGGAATTCATTTTTGCAAAGATTTAAAAAAGTCAAGGCCGAAGAAGGAGAATGATAAATGATAAATAATACCAACAATAACAAAAGTGCTATCGTATATCTATATCTAGTTCGTCGCAAGAACAAGACTCACCAAGGATTCAGGAACGCCTCGAAAGAAGGAAGAGAGAGGTGAGACGGGAGAGAGAGATTGGGCTAAAAATGGTTAAAAATATTCAAGTGCTCCTGTGTTTTGGGGTTGAGTAACTTTTTGGGTGCGTGTTGTACTCGGAACTCCCGCAAGCTTAGGAAAACACAGATATCCTTTGAGCTAAGAGACGATCAGCTTCCTGAGCTAGCTACTCGCCCTGAAACCGAGTTGAAGGAATCGTCAATGGCTTTTCTACTTCTTTTACTTTATATTTTTTCGCGGAGAGAGAGGATATCACATGATTGACATTTTTGGACCAATTAAGGATTTATGTTCATTGTTAAATAGGATTGCGTCGCCATCGCTTCTTTTTATCATACCCAGATTTTTTTTTTTCTTTTGACCTCCAACCATACGCAGATTTCAGATAGGGAATAATGTTAAATCCAGTTATTATCTTATCAGAAACATGCTCATAATGAAGCCAACATTAATTAATTTGGTCAAATTGTGCCCAAATATTCTGTGTCTTTTAGTTCCCTTTAACTTTTCTTAAAAGGTGCCTCTATGAAAAGATAAATTGCCATTTGAAGTTAATGTAAACTGCACAGTTTAATTTTGTTAAAAATAAGTCTTTGTTAATATATAATAATTCAATTAAATTTAAGAAAATAGTGAAACCATATGCTCAATTTATGAAAAATCAGGTACGATCCAGTCAGCTGCCAACATGACATGATAACATATCTTGAGATCACATTTTTTCTGGCAACCCCAGGAAAAAAAAAATACAGATCATTAACGAAAAAATCACATTAGTCCATCTCTAATGTTTTTAAAATTACAATGATAGTGCAGTGAATAAAATTTAGTTTTGATTGTGTGTGTGTGTATATATATACTTTGTTTTAATTATATCTTATTAAAATGTAATTATAATTAGAGTAGAAATTTAAAACTACTATCAACTGTGTTTGAACTACTTGACCTTGTGTAGCCTCGAAAGTAGCATTATGATGGGGTAAAAATCTTCTTTTTCCAATAAAAAAAGAGAAATTACATTCTAAAAGTTTCTCAATCATTATTTTACTCTCTTTTTTTTTTTTTTTTTGCCCCTTCATCTGACGTAAAAAAGCTCACACATATATAATATCTACGTGTTAGACTCGTAATTTCTTACTTAAGTTAATATTTAAGGGGATACTTGAGGTGAGCTGAGTTGAATGGTTTTATCAAAAAACGATTTGATTAAATAAGGGGAAGTTTTTTATTTGGAAAAACGTCCATATTTAGGAAAGTGTGCATATAATAATAAGGAAATGAATTATAAAGACAACTTCATGCAAAAGGGAGATTCCCGATTAATTCTGCCTCCATGTGATGATGCATATATGTCTTGTTTTCCGGTTTTACTTTATTTCTCACAGCTCAAACTTCAACATGCAATTTCTGTGTCTTCTTCATTTTAATTAAAAATACAAAACTTGATGTTTTAATGTTTAAACTTTATTTATATGCGAATCATTGTTTCCAAAAATATCAAGTGGATTCAACTTGTGAATTTTGATGCTACTTGTGTCTCATTAGAATATGTGCATTTTTCCTCGTCTGGAATGGAAATATTTCTCTACTCAGGCGTGAAAGCCCAAGCCTGTGTGCATGCGCAACGACGTCGTTTTTATGTCTATGTGTAGCTTCTTTTTTAATTTTACAAAGGCCTAGAAGCCCATTGGATGATGATCCGTAATATTAGGCTTTCCATTAAGCCCAATATCCCAATCTAGTTTTCCGGCCCAAAATGAAATTCTCTATCGATCAAATCAGAGGCATCATCTTCTTCACTATGACTGGGAAGTCCCCATTGTCGAGTTAGCTGAGATTCGTGGAGTTTTCAGAGTCAAGGGGGGCGTAGTTGATACAGAGGCAGGTATGGCGAATCAGGGGGCCAAGAAACGCAAGGAAGAGAACGCTCGCCACATGGCTAGGCTTCGTCTCATCATTATTGTCTGCAATGTATGTATGCTTACTGATCGTTTCACATGCTTTGGGGCTCATCCCTCATTTCTTCTTTTCTCAACCAGTCTCTTTGTGTAGCCATCCGGGAGAAGGGGGAATGGAGAATTTTTCTCTGGGGACAAAAAAATTGGAATTCATTTCTATCCCATGTACTTTAGGTGGTTCTTTTTTCTCCACTGCTAAGGTTGCTAGGGTTCTGACGGATGTGATTTTCTGTTGGATCAAAAATTTTCCCCCCTTTGATTATCCTCCCCCTCTGCTTACTACTTTCGTGACTCAGAAAAGCATCCTGATAATTTGCTTGTAGGACCTAAGGTTAAGGGTCGTCGTGTTTTGTTTTTGTCGGGAGGCGAATGTGTACACTATGAAAAACTTGCGTTCTTCAAGCTCTGTTTACCACCCTCTACTCATTTGTGCGGCTTACCAAGCTAATGTTGGAAGTTTGTTCTGCCACTCTCATTTCTATATTCAGTGTTTACAAAGATAGGTAGAGAACTTCTTAGGCCTTTAGTTGGATTGTTATCCACTGTGGACCCTTCCGGGGCAACATATGTAGAGTTGCTGGGATATATACTTCCTATTGAGTCTTAATAACCTATATTGACGAGCTGAGTGATGAAATTCGGGTCATCTTTACAATAGACATGTTGATTCCTAATTAGCATAGAGTTATGTGCATCTCAAATGAACGTAAACAAGTTCCTTTCTTCTCATTTTTAGTTTCCTGAATATTAACCATTGGTAATCCACCTTTTTGGTTTGCTCACTTAATTCGTTTCTTTCATGTTCTGCTTTACTTTTAAGTAGGCTATCTACGTCTTGATAAGGATGTTGGTCTTCCATTCGTCTTTCACATGGAAGCATTGGATTGGCCTGATTGTGACATCTCTAGCATATTTCATTCCATATCAACAACTCGCTAATATGGCAAAGCCCTCTTATGCTGATGATGGTGAGCTTTTAGATGGGGGGTTTGATATGAGTACGGGTGGAGTTTGTGGGTATGTCTTTGTCTTGTTTATATTATTATGAATTTTAAGTATCATAATAGCTGTGGAGCTCCCTGGATGAATAACTCCATCAGCATCTTTTATCAATGATGAGTCCACTCATCAGTGAGTTCTTCGTTTGTACCCTGTTGCAATTTTTAGTCGAGGATAACTTGATATAAAGTTGAAGTTACAATGAAGACCATTTGCAGTATCTTGTTGAGCTCTTTTACCTTATTTGATACCCAGTGGTTGTATTTTTCCTTTACAAAATTGGTTTTAACTGTTGAAGGCCTTCTGATATGAACTTCAGTCTGGGGTGTAACAATTTCTTTTTTTAGGTGAAAAAATAATTGAATTCCTTGATTTCTGATGGAAACTATCATCAATCTTGTTAAATAAATGGAATATTAGTCCTTTCTTTTCTCTTTTTTTTTTTTTGGCCAAATAATATTAGTCCTTTCATTGCACGCAATTTGTTTTCTCTCTTGTGTTTCGGCATCAAATAATTAAGATTTCAATTGCCATCTTTTGAAATTCAGTTGATCTCATAGGTCTAGAGTATTTATCAACCCTTGTGCCTGGTATTTCTGAAGTCAATTCATCTTTACCTCATACTGTGACTAGCTGTGTTGGAATGTGTAAACTAATTCCCCTTATTTTTTGCTCTCTTTTAATTTCACGTTGTTAGATATATGTTTGTCTTACTTTTGGTCGATCTTTTGCAGCTATTTACATGATGTGATCTATATTACATGCTTTGTGCAAGTCATGTCCGTCATCTCTGGAAAATTCTGGTACACATATCTCGTGGTAAGATCCTTAATTTGCTCTTAAGCCATTGATGATCACTTCGTGGTGAGATAAGGGTTTAACTATTTTAAGTACGTTGTACCTGCCTGAGGGAAACAAGTTTATGGTTGATCTGGATCACTAAATGAGGAGGTAACCGAAACGTAGTGCCAGATTTATTTATTTATTTATTAATCCTGTCACCAATACGAGGTTGTGGGAAACTATTGAATTTCGACTTTTTTAAGGGTCCAAAATCTGTTAAAGTCACAAGTTCAATGAAAGAACAGACAAATGAGATCAAATTAAGATTAAGTGTGTTTATTTAATAGATGAATTAGAAATTGATGTTTGATGGGGAAATCTTCACATTATCGTGACCCACAATCCACTCTTAAGGAACTACATAAACTACTATCTGAATTTAGCTGTAAGACAGAATACATGTAAATAGACTGTACGCTATCTGCTGCAAGTGCATTTCAGTGAGGCTACTATCTATAATTGGTATACACAATGGTACTGGTGTACTCAGTCACATCACTATTCGTATGACTCTTGCAGATACCAGCTTTTGGAATTTATCAATCATTTGGCTTGATTAAAGGATTTCTGTCATCAAATTCAGAAGTAAGTCGTCTTTCTTAATTGAGTTTCACTTTTAAGACCACCAAAACAAAAATTTACTCACTTTAATCTGGTGCCTTTTGTGAATCAGGAATCATTTGAAGACGAAAAAACCCGTAAGAAGAGAGAAAAGATGGAGAAGAAGGCGTCCAGAACGAAGTTTGTCAAGACAAGAACTAGATAATTTGTTTGCATAGCTTGGGAAGCACATTTAAAACCTAATCTTCAAGAGCCCAAGATGTGAGCTACTGAAAGAACTGTCAACCTAGTCAATCAAGTGACTGAAAAACGTTGTGGACGTTAAATGCTATTGAATGCCCGGAAACAATGAGTTTGACTTGAACATGAAACTTCGAGGGATGTTAAAAGCACCAAAGCATGAAAATTCTTGTAATCAGATATATATTCATATCCTTGGGACACTGATGTTGGATGTTTCTTGACAATAAATAAACCTGCATTTGAGTTACATCTAGTTATACATATAGGTGATCATGGCACAGATTGAGTCATATCCGCGCCTGTAATGCTAACCATGTTAGTAAATACATTCCCGAAGTACGAAGGATTTTCCTTCATGCAAAGATTCATGCTGGGAGCCGAAGAAGCTTAATGTTATAAAGTAGATTCAACTGGACAGGCAGTTCATTCATGAGCTTGAGGCCCTATCCCTATCCAAGGTCACTGTCAAGAGATTGAATTCACGTCCTAAAGTCCAAGACAATTCATTCTGAGCGTCAATGCTTATATTGTATTCCTGGAAGTAGCCGTTGTAAGTTACTATTGACAGGATGACTCTGGAAAATTACAAAAGAAGAGACAACTTTAGCAAACATATATATATATATTTATAAAAGAAAAATAATGAACTTTTGAAACGATGAAAATTCAAAAGAGCTTTTCTCCTAGAGTTTCTTAATAAATAGTTTTCATGTTAAGGCGCAGCTAAAGAATATGTTTCCATAAAATTGCATAAATAGCTCCTGCAATGACCAACTAAGATCATATTTTTGCTAATTATTTGATAATCCATGAGTTTAAAGCTTCATCACCATGCAAGATCTCAGTACGGTAACTCAATTGAAGAAGACAAAACGAAACGAAACGATCGGTCTAAATGAGAGGTGGGGGACACAGACAGCCAAAGGAAAATACTGGCAGGTGAACTAACAGAATAAGCACTTACCTACAAGCTAGAACTTCAGATGTTGAGGTGTCAGTGACATTTTCCACCTTGCGAATTATTGCATAACTGCATTGTAAAATCCATATTTTATGGAATAAGCAAATTCTCATCCATACAATTATAAAATGAGACTCCTCATCTGATACAGACGAATGAACATCTCCAAACTATAATGTAAGCTTTCCAGGTAGTAAAAATAAGAACCACACAAATTATTTAGCCCTATCATGCTTTTTCGCTCTCCCCATATCTTTCTCTACGACTCTTTATCTCACATCTATCTTGCAGCAAAGCACTTGTGCTATGCAACAATATCCATCAATATTCAAATATTTCATTAAACGTCAATTAAATTCTCGCACTATTTTAACAGGTAGAGCTCCCAAAGTTAAACCAATTTTCAGAATTTCTTTTTTAAGTCAACTTAGCCACAAAATAATTCACCTTTTTACCCCAGCAGGAACAGCATTATGCAGTATGTGATGATCAGCAGGATCCAAAGCATCAGTTACTGCACCAGGTATTATTGATCCAAGGAAACCACTTGATCTTTTGGTTCTGCAGAAAGCACCAAACATGTATCAGATGCCTTCTGATACAGCTGCTGATATAGCGGTTGGTTTTAAGAAGATATATAAGAGGAAATTGAGGAAGCAACCAAGGGTAGATGAAGGGAAGCCCACTGGTCAAAGCAATTGTCCTAGAGCTCCAGAAAATGAGGAGCAACTCTAATATACAGCTAGCTACCAATCTTTTGGGTCTGAAACCTTGTAGGGGGTGTAGGACTGCTTTTGGGGACGTATAAGGCTTGTAATGGAATGGCAATGCCCTTAGGACAGAATTGAGAAGAGAGTTGGTGAGGGAGAGACCTGGCCTCTCGAATGCCATGGGAGTGTCACTAAGCTAGCTGTGGTTATTTCTTTTTCTGTGTAATCCTGTGTTGTAGAAGTTGTTATCGTTGTTGTGAATTTCTTTTGGGTTTAGAGGGAAATAGGGCTTTGGCTTGAATCATTGGAGCTTGTTGTATCTTTGATTCAGTTCTTGAATATTAATATCAAAGCCTCAGGATTTTCCCCATTTATTGTTCGCACTGTTACATATTTTGGCTGGTAATTTCTGGTTTACTAAGTAATTGCAGCAGGGTCACAACACCTTCCAAATCCATTTTAGAGAAAAGGTTAAAAAAAAAAACGATAGATTCTTCATGAGTATTAAAAAAAAAATTAATTGCATTTTCACCTTTGATGTGCAGCAAATCCAAGAGTGAACAGATGGACAGAACCAGAAGAACTTGAAGCTGCAAGAATATCTGGAAGGTGCTTTGATGGCCCAAACGACAGGGAAAATATTGTAGATGGATATGTCCCCCTTCGAAAGCTATATGACTGCAGAGAAAAAAGTCATCAGCTTCTACACCTGCTTGGTTCATTGTCTTTCGAATGATGGAAACTTCTAATTAAGAAATAACATTTCGTAAATGAAGATCCACAATAGATCAATAAAGCAGAATGAATATCATAACGTCCATCAAAAACAAACCTAAATACATAAGTTCTTTAAAGTTCTCTTGGCTTTGCGTCAAGAGTAGTTTAAACCTAATTAGAAGACAAAAATGAGAAGGGCGACTATTCAGCTTATTTAATCTAATGGAATATATCACATAAGAACAAACTGGCAGAGAAACACCTTTCTTAAGAGGGATCCCAATCAGTAAATGAAAATGATAGAATTTGCAACTTCATTGATGGAAAAGACAGACATACAGGAAATGCCAACTAATAGAATAAACAAGCAATCTCTTGTGAGTGTTTATTATTTTAACAGCAATGAGATTTTTCTCTCCACCTTTGTTGCATCTGACACCAAATGAACTCTGACCATGGTTCCTTGCTCAGATGCTGTGGCTATATACATTCCGTTAGAAGAAAGGACCATTGCAGCCAGCGGCGCACGATGAGCCTCAATCTGCAATACAGGATCAATAATAATGCATATGAAAGAACATACATAGGCACATTTCTTCGTACGTAATACAAACTCAAATGGAGGCAACCAAATCCTTGTGACAATACCACTATGAGATAAAATAATGAAAAGTAACCACTCAGTGATCTAAACTTCAATTTTTTGCTCCATTTATCAGTCTATCGGGCCACCAGACAAGGAGGTCCCATGCTCCAGCAGGCATTTTAAGTCATCATTTGACTGATTAAATATTAATATTTGAAATTTTAATAGAAACCACTTTTTTTAAATAGAACTAAACTGAGATAAGGAATTCAAGAAGGCAACAGAAAAATAATTACAAAAATAGAATAGAGATTTAATAGTGTAGAATTAAATACTGCAATAGAATTATAACAACAATGAGATTCGCAAAAATATATATTATAACTATTTTGTGGCTGCAAGACACACGCTCTACGATTAAGAAAACTGACCTGTATTCTAGTAATAAAGGCACTTCATATGATTGTACAACACAATATGAAAGAAATATTTATGCCATAACCTCACAGTGTAAGTGACGATCCATGACGTTATATAACAATGCAGATCCCTTGGTAGTGCTAGCAGGAAGAGCCAAGTAGCAAGCTTCTAAACAAGGGGAAAAAGCACATAGCCCTGTGAAGAAAAATGCATCAGAATAGCAGATGCTGCGAATATAAAGTAAAATTTAGCAGACCCCATATTTACAGCATATAGTCTAAAACTACTGGGTCAAGCGTGGAAGGTGGAACACCAAAGCTAAAATTGTAAAGTAGATGTGCCACTGAATAACAATAAGTCATATGGTGATCTCTCTAAAACTCATGCAGATTATTAATATGTTTAGCACCGAAAAGAGAGACAGAACCAATAGAATTTTGTGTCATTTTAGGTAAAACGTAATGCTCATGCAAAAATTATGTAATTGCCCATATTGTAAATCTCATGCCTATCACAAATTGTCCTGATTGAATGAAACATCATAATAATAGGTATGAGTTCCAAACTCACCTTTAATATTTAGCACAGTGACAATAGTGTCCAGGATCGTGAGACTATTTAAGTCATATACATATACTTTGTCCTGTAAAATGACAATAAGCCTGCATTGCATATAAGACCAGGCAGAGGGAGGTATTTAATGATCAAATAATTATGTCAACTGAACTAAGTAGATTCTGGATATTTCTTAAATTAATACTAACAATAAGGAAAATTCAGAATCTCAGATAACTTCCACGAATCAAACAATTGTTATCTAGTATGTAATTACTGGTCCAGTTGCCTAATACTGTGATTTTGAATTTTGCAAGTGAAATTGTCCATCTAGAAAAAGATCAATGAAACAATAAATCATCAAATGGGAAAACTGGCCAGCAGAAATATCTTCCTCTAATTTCCCGAATAGTGGTAACACCTGAGTCTCATAAGGCATCTTGACTCGTTCCTTTTCCGTGGATCTTTTTTATAAAGAGGAAATTCCAAAGCAAACGGCAATCAGATAAGCAAGCCCCTCAAAATATCTTGACTGAAGATAGTTGTAAAATAGATAAAACATGCAAGCCTTAACCACGTCTTAATTTCACATATTTTTTACAACCATTCATATTGATGCCCTATAATATCCCCAAGACCAGTTCTTTGACCCTAAACAAGAAAAACAGAAGTAAACCAAGTAATCGTGAACTCATAAAATAAAAATAGAATACATCTTTAACTAACATTTTTTTGTTCATGCGAACAGCAAGTATCGAGGTCAGAAAGTTCAATTCTCTAAGAGCGGTTCCTGTCTTTGTGTTGAATAAACAGAGTCGACGTGGGGACAAAGATGGCTGTATAAGTCAGAACTAAATAGTCAGAGAATAATACAAAGAGAGAGCCGTAAAAGGTCCAATGCAAGGTGAGACGAGTAAAAAATTGCTCACACCTGCTCACCAGCACCAACGATTGCAAGAAGACTTGAGCTAAATAGCATTTCAACAATACTGAAAGCTCCAAGAACTAGGGTAGAAATAAAATTTAGAAATATAATGATCAAAACCATGTGGCTCATTTCTCATGCATAGGACAACACATGATCGAACTCACCTTTTTCATAGCATAGCCTTCCTGTATTCGTGTCAAAAATTCTGAACCCATCCCTCGTGCCAATGGCAAAGCAACTGAAAACTCAAACCAGAATTAATGAAACAAAAAGAGATCACTCAAATGCTTCCGCTCCCAATAACTTCAGAAAAGTTACTTAAAAGTTAAACTTCAAAGGCTCGATGACATGAGCCCCATCTTTAAGCGTGAAAAGGGCTCCAGAACCGAATAAACTTTCAAAGAGAAACCGAATTACCAGTGAACTCAGAATTGAAGGGAATTGGTTTGTAGCGGAATTTACCTATAATCCTGATTAAAAGAGGCACAGAGGAAAGGAGAGGAAGATGATTGAGTAGCCATTAGAAATTTAGAATTTACATAGTACTTGACTTCTCAGAATTTCTGGCGGCAGATTGCCGTCGCCGTGAAAGTTTCGATTTGTCGGAAATTTGAAGCTTGATAAACCAAAAACAGAATAAAGCAAGCCCCCAGTGCGGCCTCCGAAGGAATCTGAAATCCGCCAACGTGTCATTATATTTTGTTTATTTTATATTATTTTTGCCATCTTTTTGTATTTTATGTTATTAAACTTTATATATATATATATATATATATATATAGATATAAAGATATGTGCATGGATCTACGAACGCGTATCACCTGAACAAAGTAATCAGATACGGATGGGGTTAATTTTTACGTGAATATGATGTCGACATATTTTAAAAAATGCTGGTAAAAAGACATGTTTTGAAAAGCAGAATAAAAGATATGGATTTTAAACAATTTTATTAATTATTTTTCAAGGCTAAATATTCATACTTCATCTTCAGATATGTTCATGTGATGGCCTTGGATAATATTCCATGTCTCCATCCCTTTCATATTATAAAATATAAAATATTTTTTTGTAATAATAATACCCTTCAATTAATATAATCCTAACCCAAACTCACAGTTAATTATTATACCATTATTTTTGGTAATTTTGGAATAGATTCGTTAATGAAACCCTTTTTTTAAAACATCTTATTTTAAATCATCTAAATACTCCAAAAACTGTGTTATAATTTGAAACAGAGAAAATAACAATTTAGAGAGCTATAATATTGAAACAAATATAACATTTTTCAATTACACACTGCTATTGTTGTTGCAATGGTGATCTGGTAACTGATTAAAGTGGTTGGTTAAAATCATATTTTAGTCCAAGAAATAACATCAATCCCTTGGCATTTGCTCTTTGTAATTGTAATTTGCGAATTTAATCGGTATTTACGGCTGCCTTTTATGTTAAATTTTTCAGTCTAACCAACAAAAGGGGCCAGTTTAATGCATTGCGCTTCTCTAAAAGAAAAAAATTGAAGTGCAAATTTGGAGTTTAACCCAAGAAAATATTTACAAAGAGGGCTGCATGCAAATTCCTTACGGCTTGACAAAGAAATTATTGGATCACTTTAGGGCACTTTTATCTGGCAAATTTGCTGGCTTTAGGCTGCGAGATGAGTCAGGAATCCCTGTTAATCTGCAGCCTTCACTCTTATCTCGTTAATTTGCCTTTTGTAAAACAGGGTCCATGGAGGTTCCATTATTAGCTTTTGACTGCAAGTTAAAACCAGTTCAGATGGTCATCAAAAGGGCCTCTTGTCTTTTACCCTATTTGATAAAGCTTAATTTTTATATATTTTATTTTATATTAATATAGGAATTAAATGATGTGTCGGACTTAAATGGATTTCTTATGTATTATTGGATTAATTGATTAATTTTATGATTTTTTTAATAAAAATTGGGATTTTGGATTGAAAATATAAATATTTTATAATTCTTTTTTTTTCTTGAAAGTAATAATTCTATTTTTTTGAAACAATTCTCATACTTATATAAAGACTGATTTTGGAAAGTTTTGCAATTCGTTGTCTTATTTTTATACATATCTGATATTTAATTTTGATATAGATTATATTATATTTAAATATAATTTATATTAATATATGTACTTAAATTTTTATAGGTCAAGAAAGAGCAAAAGATGAAATCCAATTGTACAAAATTATTTCTTGAAATTCAAGCACAATCCAAAAGAAGGGATGACCTCCCTCTTCACTTACCAATCCAAAGGAAGAGCAAATTCTTATATCTAAAAGCTCCTTTCTTACTTTTATAAAAAAAAAAAAAAGCATTCTCTCATAAAAAGGGATGACCTCCCTCTTCACTCATTAATCTTCATCCATTCATTAACTTATCAATCATCCTCCGTTATTCCCTCAATTTCAGGCCAGCCATAAGAGCCGGAGCTTGCTTGGGAGATAAAAGGAGGAGCATGAAGGAACTTAGAGTATTGGGCTAGCATTTGAAGACCACAAGAGAGCAATTCCATTTGTCTTTCTAATTCAATACCTTGATATTATTTAGTTTTAAATAATTGAGTTGTATTGTTTTGAGACAATTTAGTTCTAAATTATCACTATTTCTATTCTTGAATTGGATTAATATTTGAATTATATTTGTACTGAGATACTTGTTGGAATTTATGTTATGAACCTTCATATTGTTAATTGAATTTATAATTGAGTTTTCATTATAGATTTAATTATCAATATGGTTTGAGTTGCAAATTTAGGTTATTCTACATGTTGATTGTTTAATCAGATTAGTAATTTATCTAGTTGTTTAATTGGATAATTCTAAACATAATTTTAAATTGATTTGAATTATTTGTCATTGATTTTAATGAGTTTAATTAACCACCATTTTACCATTATGAGTTTTCTAATGGTTTAAGGGTCTTTAAAATTAAGAGTTCCCCTTATTTTAAATAGGTAATTAAACTTATTAATTCTGCTCTCTTGTCATTTCTCTTTGGTCTAATTAATTGATTTAAGCTATGAAAGTTAAGTCCTTGTGAATCTTAAGTTGTTTCCTCTACTATACCTAAAGAGAAACCTCTCGCTTTTATTTGTTAATTTTCTTTGCTCTCTAGTTAATTTTCTTAACTTATTATTTTGATTTTCTAGTTGATTTTCTTAACCTATTATTTTGATTCTCATTCAAAAAAATCCCTCCAAAAATTACATTTGCATTCATTTAGTTTAATTTAATTTTTATATAGATTTTAGGGCATTTACATATTACACTTAAATTTAGTATTTGCATTTTAGTTTAGATTCATTTACATTACATTTTCCACCACGTGAACTCATACTAAAAGAAAACCCCTAAATTGCTCCTTTAAGAAATGACCTAGGTTGTCACTATATTACATTTGTAGTTGGTCCTACTTTAGTTAAGTACTTTAACAATATAGGCATCATCAACTCTAGTAGAAAGTTTGATCTTTAATTTTAAACAGCAAATTATCCGTCATTTACCCTCAAGCCTCCACAGTCTACACTGTTAACAAAAGTTAATATCTTTCTTCCACCATTAAGATTCAAGAAGGAAGGAAATACGTGACTTCGGCGTTTACATTTTGGATCCACATGGCAGTGTACTAAAACAACAGGACAAGACAATTTTAAGGTAAAAAGAAAATGTAAGAAATCACCATACAAAGTAAACTGAAAAGCAGTTCACTGAGAAAAAGCAATGCGCGTGACCTGCAAAAGCATCAGATAGAAAATGACCTCTTTCACGGCAAAAGGTTCAGACTGCCACCACCTTCTTCAATTCACTCTTTGCTTTCAACATCAACTACAACAACAACATCCCACAAGACAGACACAGCAGAAACCATTGTTTTCTTAGATCAAACCAGTCAATACTATACCCTCAAACTGAAAGAGAAACCCTCTGATGATGATGATGATGTTCTTGAGAGAAAAGAATCTCATGATGTTCTTCTGTCCTGTCCCACCCTAACGCTGCACACCCTCCTGCTTTATGGAGATGTACTATTACTACTACCTATTTACTATACATCCAGTAAACACACTTGAAAAGAGAAGTTTCATGGGTCCAACACTTGTCAGACACTAAGATATGACAAGACTCTTCAATTACTCATGGACACTTAAAATTTTCGTTGTCCCAATATCATTTGACACTCCCAACGCCATACAATTGTATGATAAATATGTACATCATGATGTCCTACTAGAAAAAGAAGATGATATACCCTTGCTTTAAAGAATTTTGATCATGGCCCAAAAAAAAAAATTCACCCTCACTTTTTCTTGTTCTTTTCCTGTTTTCTCGTCCTTAAATTCTCTACATCATCTGTTTACCTAGGACCAGAGAGTTCCATGGCATAAGAATCCAAAGAGTGTTCATCATCATCATCACCATCCAGTCCCATGCCAACCATGTTGGGACGATCATTATCATCATCATCATGATTTGAAGCAAGGGTGGTGCTTGGTCGAGAAGATGAACTATTGTTACTGTGGCTATGAAAGGTGTTCATGTTGAGATTATTATGATTCTGTGAAGCTGCCCACTTGTCTGCAAGGCCATCGCCTTCAAGCATTCTGACCACTTCTGACATTTTGGGGCGGTGAATTGGTAGATTCTGAGTGCAAAGTAAAGCTACTTGCAACATCTCCCCCACCTCTATCCTATCATAGTTTCTTCCTAACTCTTTGTCCACCAACAATTCCACCTTCTTGTCTTGCTGTATTTTCTTCACCTGTCTCAACAAAATAAACAATGTTTGATTTCTGCCCTCTAACAAGAAGATGATATAACAATGAGCTCATCACATGTTTGCTCGTTCTTGATAGAAGAATTCAAGTTCATGATTCACGGGAAAAATTACAAGTTAAAACTATCTAGGAAAAATAGATAGACAAACTCATTTATAAAAAGATACACAAAGATGTTAGGCACAATTTTTGAAACAGTCAAACACTATGAGGTTATGCCATTTTGCTCAGAACTTGTTAAAAGAAAATGCAAAAAGGATACAGACGGCACTAGAAAAAAGGCATGCTCATTGAAAAGTCAAATTAGGCTCACTGGGAGCACCTAAACAACATTTGACCAAAGTAAGGCATAATAGAGAACTTACCCACTCTAGCATTGCACCTTTCTGATTCACCGTTTTTCCAAACTCAAGAGCCGTCATTCCAGTTATGAGCTCCAACAAGAGAATGCCAAATCCAAATACATCAGTTTTTTCAGATGATTGGCCAGTGGAGAGGTACTCTGGCGCAATGTGCCCGACAGTGCCACGGACAGCAGTAGTGACATGAGAGTCAGCGTGATCAAGGAGCTTAGCAAGGCCAAAATCACCAACAATGGCTTCATAGTACTCATCCAGAAGCACATTAGCAGCCTTAACATCTCTATGTATTATCTTTGGATCACACTGCTCATGTAGATACAGAAGACCTCTGGCAGCTCCAATAGCTATCTTCTTCCTCGTGTTCCAATCTAGAGCGGGTTTGCCTATATCAATCATAAATGAATGCTTACAGGATCTCAGTAAACAAGTTGAGTGTTTGGATTCTACAGCCAAATTATGAATAAGCATAGCAAGCACACTTTTTAGCAGAAATCACATCTCAAATACTGTTGTATCTATACATGACTGGATTAGTATATCCAAGAATTTTTCCTCTGACATCAGAAGACGCATTGGTTTCTAACTATTGCTTGCTTCCACTAAGAGGAGAATACACCAAATCTATAACATACGCCTGAAATTGTGATACCTCAGGTTATCAGACCGCTTCTAAATGTTTAATGTTACGAAGTAAGCCTGGCGAGTTAAAAGTGAATGGATCCAAAAGTAATCTTCAAATAAGCATGTAAAAGAAGTACTCCAGACTTTATCCCATGTCTCAAGATGGAAATCAGAAGCAGTATCTGGGCCCCTCAATCATGAAAGATGGAATGGCTAAAACAGGACAAGCGCACATCACAGGATTTTAGAATGAAAGTTAGAACTAACACCAAGATGATTCTTTCATTGAAAAAGACCTCACAGCAAAAGCGCATGTCACAAAATCAGAACAAGGTAAGAGAAGTACCAACCTTTTAGTCTGGATGCCACACTTCCATTAGACATGTAAGGATAAACCAGAAGCTTCTCATTAGGAGTAGCGCAGTATCCTATTAAGCGAAGTAAATTACGGTGAACCGCCAAACTGATCATCTCCAATTCAGTTCGAAACTGAGATTCCCCAGCACTTCCAGTGACGTCCTTCAACCTCTTCACAGCAACCAGAGTCCCATCTCCAAGCTTACCCCTATACACATTGCCAAAACCCCCAGCACCAAGTATGTTCTTGGAGCTGAAATTATCTGTTGCATGTTGGAGCTGTCTGAAAGTGAAAATATTGAGATTCCCCAAGCGAACAAGTCCATCTTCCTGATAATCTGCCACAAAACCAGAAAAGAAAAAAAAAAAATTCAATTGAGAGCCATTTATCATGTGAGTAAAGACTTTCTGTTTAAATATGACCTACCACTGATATACAAAAGTGCTCGGTGCTGTCTTTTCTTTCTATACAAGAAAAGCCCTAAAGTCAGCAGTGTGAGACAAGCAAAGCTAAGGCCAACTCCAAGTGCAATCGCTATTGTCGTGGACTTGTGCTTTCCTGCGAATTTGACTCCAATTATAAGTTGCAAAACGAAAAGGGGAATCTTTTCATTGGTCCTAGATGGTAGAACTTTCGTTTAATCCTCCACAGATAATTTCTTTCAGTTGAATTATTCATTATTCGATCGTTAAATAAAATACTAACAATAATATTAAAGCCTATTAATTGGCCAAGTTTGGCATAAAACATCAAGGGACTAATCGAAAACGATCAACAGAGGAACCAATTTAGAGTTTAGCGGTTTGTCCAAACACCAAAGTAGAGTCTAAAGACCACGGAAGGTGGCATTATAAGGAAGCTACCTTGCGAGGATGGAAGAGAGAATGAAACAGGCAAGAGAGTTGTTGATCCAGAGCAACCTTCAGTAGAGCTGCTTCCACAAATTAATGGGTTTCCCACAACACTACAGAAGAAACCGTGAATCAATACAAAAGATCATATTCAACAGAAAGCATATGGTTAAACACGCACACTGAAAGAAGAGGCCATACTTGAGAGATCGAGATGGAAACTTCGGCACAGGTCCACTGAGATTGTTATAAGACAAGTCTCTGAATGATTGGAGTCACCATATCAGCATAAGTAAGAGCTCAACAAGCATCTGGTTTTTTTCGTTTTTCAAGACACTTAGACTTGCGAAAGCAAGCAGAAACTTTTAGGAGCTGAGAAAACTCATACTCACAAGAAAGCAAGTTGAGGGATTTTGGCTAGTGACACAGGAAAGGGCCCAGATAAGCTATTGTTGTTCAGCCTCCTACTCTCAGGATGGAAAACGAACATCACGTCAAAAATCTATACAAGTGAAGTAACAAAAAACTAGAATGATAAACAATATTAGAAATGATCTCATAAGTCAACAACCAAACCGGAAATAGAGGTCAATCGTTGGATACTCGAGTGTCTTCTGAATCTCACAGAGACAATTTCAAAACAATTTTCCCGCAATTTCTTGGCAAAGTAGGTGGGAAAAAAGAAAGAACATGAAAGTTTACTCACAAGTACTTAAGACCATCCAAGTGACTCAAGGAACCGGGAATCACACCAGAGAATCGATTATTCGAAAGATCTAAAGTCTGTAGCTTAGGAAGGGTACCCAGCTCCGGTGGGATTTGGCCAGATATGTTGTTGTTCTGCAGTAGCCTATATTAATCAATCAACAAATCGAGATTAGAAGTTTCAATGACAAAGCAAACATATTAACAAAATATTTTCAAAGTTTAAACAATCCGTTTGCAATTAGAATTATGGTCAACTTTCTCAGAGTTTGATAGCGACCAGTCTTGGTTGCATAAACTATTCACGGGCATGGAAAAAGAGACTAAACTACAAAAAAACAAAGATCAGAGGTCAAATAAGTTTCAGAATGACGTGATGACAACTGTCTCAAATTCAAAGCCAAAACGCTACCCCCAAAAACCTCAGAAAAAGAAAGAAAAGCGGGAGAAAAAGAAAACTGTAACAGAAGCTAGAAAAAATGGCAAGGTTCCCTCACACTTGTCGAAGATTTGTCAGATTTCCTATGGCAGCAGATAGAGTTCCAGAAAGAGATTGGCTTGGAGCTCCCCTGCAAAACCCAGAAGAGAAACAATGAACTCGGTAAGCGTCTTAGTATTTGAAAAGGCAAAAACACAGTAAAGAAGAACTCACAAGCCTATAACAAGAGAATCAGAAGAGCACGTGATCATAGCCCAACTACAAGGGTCTACAGAGTTTTCATCCCAGTTGTTTAATACCCCATGAGGATCATTCAGAGATGCTCTTATGCTTATCAAAGCCTCCACTGCAGCATAAATATGCACACAATAAGAAAAACTCCGAAAATTAACCTTAGTTGTTTAGGAAAGACCCCTTAAGGTAAGGCGTCTAACTCTACCTTCATGGTTACGAGGCTCGTACGAGAAACAGAGTCCAGAACAAGCGAGAAAGAAGAGAAGATAAACCCAAGGAAGAGCCATGATTATGGAACAATGGTGGCAATGATCGTATTTCACAAAGGAACATGAGATATGCTAAAAGCAATCCTCATAATGCAAAAACAAAGTTACAGAGCCCAAGTTTTCTCCCTTTTTCAAAAAAAAAAAAAAAAATATTTATGTCCCCTCCTTGGGGGGTCCTGGCCTGTGTCTTTCCTCTCCCCTTTTCTTTCCGTCGCTCCCCCCCATAGCTTTACAACAAATTCCACAAAAGAAATGTATTAAAAAAGAAAAAAGAAAACTTGGGAGGGAAAAAAAGGCAAAGGGAAATCAGATGGGTATGATACGAATTGTCAGAAGTTAGTGGGTGTGTGTGTTATGCCCAGAAATTGAGAGAGAAAATGGTAGTTACAGTGGTCGTACTACCAGGACTTGCTCTCTGGTTCAACAAATAAGTGAAATAACACAAACCTCTCCCTCCCTCTTGCTCTCTCTCCTTTTTGTCAGCTTATACCACCCACAGAGAAAAATAAAAACTTTCTTTAAGGAACATTCAAGAATTGAATCGCATTGACTTGTCATATTGGATTGTATTGTAGTGAAGCTTTTTTTCTTTTCATATTTTCATTCTGCAGATCGTTTTGAGACTGTAGCATCAGATTTGATCTTGAAGCCCCACGCTGCCAACTGTTCCATCTGAAAGCACAATAGCAGCAGAGGTGCCTGTAATGGTAGAGAAAATTCACCGTTCTCATCATTATCTTCCTTCCTCGAGGAAGGCCACTTAGGTTCGTCTCTGTTATACACACTCTGCCTTGTATTATGCTAGTATTAAGTTATTAACATACAGTATTCCACTCTTTCCCCAAGAAAAAGAAATCGTACATTGCAAAACAATTTCTTCAGTTTTATTATTTTATCGTGACCTCTTTTATTTTGTATTCTGAGCTTTCTGACAACACCATGGCCCAAATGATTCTGGCTGGTTAGAAATAAAATCAGGCATGACAGGCTTACGCCTAAAATCTCACTGTTTTTGAAAACATACAGATTTCAGAATTCATAAGCTAAACAGTGAAGGATGAGTACAAGAGAGAAGCAGCATCAGACCGTAAAATCTGATAACGTGAATGGGGAATGAAACGAAAGAATTAAAGAGAGAAGAAATTTGACTACTTTGTCGGAAAAAAGAGCAATAAAGCAAAAATATAGTTAGAGATGTGACCAGTTGGGCACACAAGTAGAATGTAATTTCAATAATTTCAACAATAACAATATTAATAATGGAGGCATTGCCAGCCAACTAAGGTTACTTTGTTGCCTCCGGGTACAAACAACGTGACTAATCTGCTTTAACTAAATTATTTTGTCACCAAATTTTCCTTTTTCTTGTCCTCGCCTTTTATACATACTGAATCAGATTAAATTCCGCCTCTTCAATTTGGTTATTTTGGTTCCTTCTTTTAGATTATTTTTTTAATATTATTATTAATATTTACAGTTTAATCGAATTTTGATTTTATTTCTTGTAGTTCAAATCATGATTTCTAGTCCTATAATTGCATAAAAACTTAATCTGAGTTTAACAATGCTGACTTTTTGTTAAATTAAAATCAAAATTCATTAAAAAAAAAAAAGAAGGATCAAAACCAAAACTAATTAAAAATACTTTGGTTTCAGTCCTTATAAACTAAATAGACCAAACCTAATCAAAATTGTCGCTTTTTCTAAAAAAGAAATAAAATTCATAAGATGTAATATACAACACTAAATAAATTATTTAAAATAAAATAAGACAATTTTTTAAGGAAGTATGAATCATGCAACTACTTTCACGTATCCGGTCCTAATTATAAGAGTTAGTTGACTAATTTAAGGATATTAAGAAAATAAGTTAAGTTAGTTATTTGTAATAAATATGTATTGTTTTTCCTAAAATATCCTTGTTAATCAAGTGTGTTGGCTAGAACTACCATTATTAGAATGATTACCTTAGAAAAAAGACATAAATATTAGAAATAAAGTGGATCGAGGTCTTATATTTAGAATCAAAATAAAAGTCAAATGAGGTCTTATATTAAGGATCGGAGATAGTATCTTGTTTATAGTCTATAAACAAGATTTTATAATTAAAATTAGAGGTAATATTAAATTAATTTGAATAACTGAGAGGAGAAGCATGAAATCTTCATTGGAGAACGTTTTATTCCTTGAATCTTCCCCATTCGGTTCCACGTCCCTGCGTTTTAAAAACATAAACCCAATTGGGAACACCAAAAACTCCCTTGCTCGTGCTTCCCTTCCGACAGCTTTTTTCTTTTTCTTTTTTCTTTTTTCTTTTTCCCCTAACTTTACTACACTCTCATGACACAATTTTAGATCCGTATATGCTATAATGTATTTCCATTTCGGTCCTGCATGCTTCTTTACTCTTTGTTTCAAAAAAAAAAAAAGAACAGCGGCAGTGTATTTAATGAGTCATAATGAAGAAATTGAATTCAAAGTTTCAAACTACGCGGATCGAATTTCATATGAATTAAATGCATAAATAAACAATATAAATGAGACTTTTGTTTCGTGAAACACACGGGTGGTTCTTAAGATTAATAACATTATTAACTTTAGTTTTGACCCTTATAATTTTAGTCCTTGTAGATTCATAATTTTTTAGCCTGAATTTAAATAATAGTTTCTATATTTGTAATGAAATTTGGTTTTGATTCATATACTTAAACTCAAATAAAGTCATTTTGAAATTATAGAGATCATTACCAATGATTTGAAACAGTGGGAATTAAAATTAAGATTTGATCAAACGGTAAGAACCAATAATGATACCAACCCTTCTCTTTTAATAAGCAAAAATATGTATTTGTTCTTTTAATTTTATACTACTTCAAGTTCTAATTATAAGATCTCGTTTATAATCTATAAATAAAATCTTATAATTAGAATCAGAGATAATATAACTGTATAAGGTTGCAGATTGTTCCATTAGCTTTAAAAACCATATTCTTAATCATTCAACTTTAGAATCGTTAGATTTAAATGATAATTTTTTTATAATAATTATGGTTGTTTTAAAATTTAAATTTTGTTCAAGCATTAATCTTCTTATTATTTTTCTCGTAATTTTGAAAAGTTATCAATCCGCCCTAAAACACCTTGACCTCCAAGAGGGGGGCAACACCAATGAGACAGTCATTTGTGATGTCAAATTAAAAATAAAAATTGACGAAATTATCGTAGGAAAAAGTCAACTGGGATGAAGAAATTTTGATAAACTTCATTTGTAAAAGGATGGCTGGCATCCTATAGTTGACCGAAGCAGAAGAGACAAAATGAATCTTAAGCTCCACTCTGTCAACGTATAGTCTGCATCATAATCACCCAAAATTATTACTTAGGGAGAGTTATAATGAGATCCTAAAGAAAAAAATAATTATTAAAATGTCTACCTAAACAATTTATAATAAGGAGTTTCAAAATAGAAAATAACAACTTTTGATATTTGTTTTGTAGTTATTCTCTTTTATTGGGATCTCATTGTAATTCTCCCTATTAGGCTATTACTTATCCTTAATATAATATAAAAAGTTAGTTTGACATTTAATTTAGTTTTAAATATAAGACTATCAATCTACTTTGTTCCTCGTATTTATCTACTTTTTTAAAATAATATTTGTAGTAGTTACATATATTAAAAGTTTTATTAAATGATAATTTTAACTAATACACATTATTAGTAAGGATATTTCAGAAAAGATAACACCTATTTATTATAATTAACTAGCTTAAATTTTTTTAATTTATTCAAATTAGTCAACTAACTATTGTGTCAAGGATCAGAGCAAATAAAATGACAAAGGAATTTGGTATTATCAGGTTTATGCTAAGCACAGGCTTAGACTTGGATTTCACTTTTCCCTGTATAATTAAAAATTATGCACTCATATTGCTTGAACCAATCACATGGCGCACTTGGATGACTCCTACCAGGATCAGCCATCTTCCTTGTTAGTGTTTTGTTATAAGATTTATAATTTTTTAGGTTAATAATGCGGGCACTACTTATATTAAAAGGATTTAAATCCTAATCACTATTAGTAATGCCTCACCTTATTGCTACCATACAAAATAACTATAAGTGGCGTTTTCTTTGAATTTTTTAGAGGTTTATCAAGAACGGGTACAAAAATATTTTTATATTAATAGTTCTCGATTTTTAAGGCACAGTTAAAAAATAAATTAAAAAAGTTTCAAGTATCCCCGACAAGGCTGGCTCGTATTGACACTTGACAGCTATAATAAAACTATACGAGATTGAAGAAATTATATACACTAATAATAATTGACTGGAAGAAAAATTTATATAAATAACCAAAATATAAATTTATTTGGTAGGGAAGACCAAAAAAAAAAATCTTGAAAATGCACGCAGAATCTTGAAAGGCACTTACAAATTTTTGAAATCGGTTTGCAAATTCACTCCTCTAATCCTTTCAGTCAAATGAGTTTGTGTTTCTATCCAAAACGCTCCTTTGATAGTTTGATCCAATCCAATCTATGAGGGAGGGAATGAAATTTTTTTAATCTTATTTATAACTCATATTATTAATTACTTAGCATGAATATTATTTTATTCTCATTTATTATCATGTAAATTATTATTTTACAAAAAAAATGTATACATTAAATAAATATAAAGTTAAAAATGTTACTAAATTTTAAGACAGAAGTAATAATAAATGGTAATAATTTAATATTAATAACTCAGTTGTGACGGGCAAAATCTGGTAAAGCAGCAATAAAGTTTGGTCCAAGATCACATGATGATAATATCAGCATCACGTCTCAAACCAGTCTTCTTTTTAAATGAAATGATTCATAATTTTAGTCGACCAATTTACTCATAGGTAGAACTGCCAAAAAGCATCATGGAAAGATCTTCAAATCATGATATCCCACTGACCATCGACAAAAGAAAGAAGGGAGTAATATGGTTGGACTTGGATGTGATTTATCACCTTTTATGATTCCAATTGGCTCAAATTAGAATCTTGATTTATATATCCCCTCCTGTGTTAATATAATAGCTATATAACTTATTTATATACAAATTACCATTTGGAAGGTCAGTTATGAATTTAAAAGACAAAACACATTAAAATGTTATCATCTCCTATTCTAAATATAAGAATTAGTAACTAATTTGTAAAGATAAACAAAATTAACTGAGTTAATTGTTTATAAAAATATGTCTTGATTTTCCTAGAGTATTTCTATAATTACTTGCATTGAAAACTA